TTATGGCGAGTGGAGGAAGGTTCGGAAGTGTGTAACACGACGAAGAGAGTTTGCTCGAGGGAGCATGTAGCGGGCCGTGTGTGCGACGGGGATGGAGAAGATGATAACGCCCAACGTTGTACCAAACAGGGTCGACCTTTCTTTAGCTAGCCTAGGAAAATTCTGCAGTATCGGAAGAAAGTATTACAGGAGTGGAAAGCGCACAGCGCTTGCTAAGCCAGACCATCTGCATGCGCGAATAAAGTATGGGCGCAACGAGCAGTTGGGGACGCGCTCCGGCCGCACTTCTGCTGATGCCGCTTATCAGATCAATTCAATCTGATAACATTTGAGTTGGGCGGGATTTGCGATCCCTGGCTGGCAGCCCGCGCCGGCAAAGTGCGCTAGTTATCGATAATCGGCATTAACTTTTCTCGCGCCGCCGTGTTCTGGGTTCGAGAACTTCTGCGAGATCCACTGGTCGCGCAACACCGCAACCATGTCTGAATCTGTGATAATCGAGGCACCTCCTGCGACGGAAACTGCCCCTGTCAAGGGCATGAAGAAGAACGGTATGCGACCGCTGTGCGTGGTAGTCGCGACATGGCGATCTAACTTTCCCCAGGCAAGCAATGGCACGACAACAAGGGCCCCTTCCGACCAAAGGCTGGCCAGACGTCATGGGAGAAGCGCAGTGAGGAGAGGAAAGCGCTCGCTGCTGTCAAGGCGAAGGAGAAGGAGCTGAAGGACGAGAAGGAGTCTGAGAGACAGGTAGGAAACCACGGCTTTTGGTTACAAATAGACAGGAGCTGACTGTGCAATAGCGACGAGTCGAAGCCATCAAGACCAAGCGCGCCGCCAAAGCAGAACGAGAGCGATTCGCCCAGATGGAGGAGAAGATGCACAAGAAGCGCGTCGAGCGCCTGAAGAGGAGGGAGAAGCGCAACAAGATGCTGAAGTCATGAGCTCGGGTCGGATAGACTAAAGCCGAAGCACAAAATGCGGTCAAGGAAATGCCGCTTCGGGAGGATGTAGAGAAGGTGCAGAGGCAGGCGCGACTGCACTGCCTAGAGACCACCGGGAAAGCAAGAGCGACCGGAACAAATCCAGAGAAGTCCAGTCTGTAGGGCGGGATGCAAGCAATGATACCCTATCGAGACTTCCACAGTGGAAGACGCAGCAAAAAGCAATCATTAGAATCCTGTACATGATCAAGGAATCTGAGATCACTACTGAAAGTACCATGCCCACAGACGTGGAATTGCGTGCACAAGCAATTCGAGTTCAATATCTGCAAAGCCACAATCATCATGACTGTCTAGGCTGTTTCATGACTCTCTTCACATGCGCTTCCCCAGCTGGCTAGCGGAAGGAGACCCCTGCAATGACACGCGAAACTCGGAAGTCGATCTTGGAACCCAGCAGCACCGACAACTGCCTCGTTGCGCCGACCCAACCACCACCATGACATGGACGGCCAGCTTCACCTCCATGCCGGCCTGGCCGACCCCAGATCTTTCCGTCCCAACCTCTACAGCTCCCGTTCGGCGACGCGTGTGACGACTGACCCCGAGAAGAAGTCGCATTCCCACCTGCACAAGCACAAGTCGTCGCGACACCACCACGACCGTCACGATGACCGGCACCGCCACAGCTCCAGCCGACGCCATGCTGCCAAAGAGGCGATGCAGTCAGCCATCCAAATACAGCCGCCCACTAGCTTCGGAGACCTGCTGAGGCAGGCGCGAGGGAGCAGAGACACGAGCCCCAGTCACAGTCGCAGGGAGAGCGTCGCCCCAGGCCAGGCGGATGGCAGCGTGCATGGGAAGGAGGAAATTACTCCAGGCATCACTATCCCGCCGCGGAGACCAATCCGGCAGGCGGATGTGGAGCTAGAGGCTAAGAGAGTTGAGGCTAGAGAACGGTGCGTCTGCGTCATTCACTATCAACCCCATGATGCTCTGTAGCGTTCCCCCAAGATGCCTTCTCTAACATGGCTCGCAGAGACCTTCGTGCGGTTCTGCAGACCCTTTCCGACCAGTCCCTCAAGACGTCGCGCCGTCTAGACGACACCTACTATTCCATCCTCGAGAAGGTCTCTGTACTGCGCCAGACCATCGGAACACTGCAAGAGCTCTCTGGCCTGACCAAGGAGCTCCACGAGAACTTCGAGTCGGACACCACAGAGTTGCTGGAGGATGTGACTGGCCAAGTGGAAGCCTTTGATGGCTTCAAGACACAACAGGAGCAAGTGAGCGGGTTGGAAGAGCGCATCAAGGCGGGCAAAGAAAAAGCCGATGCACTGACGGCGAGACTCGAACGAGCCAAAGAGCGTGTCGATGCGAGGGCCAAATCGGAAGCGCAGTGGCAGGCGAAGAACACCCGTATGGCTATCCTCATAACCTTCTTTGTTATCGTCCCAACTAACATCACACAGATCGCGTGCGCATATTCTGGGCTATAGTGGGTTTCGTAACTGCTCTTATACTAGCTCTCGTTTTCTTCCGCCCGTCGCAACCGATCGACAACCTACACGAACCGAAGAATACACTCGATCCTGCGACCAGAGAGGCAATCCTGAATGCCGACATTCCAGACATAGCAAAAGAGGCAATTATAGGGCCGTCATCTAGTACTGCAAGTCCAAAAATGGAGACCCCCGAAGCGCAGTCTGTACTAGATGACGATGAGCGACTGCGCGCATTCGATGAGTTGTAATACTTCGAGCTACTTTCCTGCCTCCTTTGCTTTCGAACACCAAGATACCCCTGCGATAGTTTTGCCACGTCCAATATCAATCTCGAAATGATCAAGTTCTTTTGGTGTTACCGTCCACATCATCCTAGCCGTCAGGAGACCTATCACTGTTGTATGACACAGGTATATCCGCGTGCGTTGCAGATCGTTGAACACAGCGTTAGGTGTTACTAGGCAGGACGCCTTGCCAAACCATAGCCAATGGTCAGAATTTGTACAACACCTCAGCCGCTTTTGGCCCACCTAGCCCAAGCCACCAAAGCCACTAGCCCAGCGGCCTCTCGTATGTAACAGTACTTAGTCCTGTCGACTCCTCGCAGATCTTAACACACGTAGCTATCGCTGCTCTACCGGATCCTGAGCATGGCTTCATCTCGCTCTGCCACTATGCGTTCGCTGGAGCTCAGCCAAGAGTACCTTCCGACGGCCACTGCTCCAGTCAGAGCAGACCCACTTGCAAGCAGCCTCAAGCAGGATCGTTTACATGGTATCCCGGATCACGGCCATTCCACTCATAGCGAAAGGCTACTCGGTAACAACCTAGCATGGAGTTCAGAAGGACCAGAATCCGTATCTTCGAAGGAACAGGCTATTGTCCGAACGCACTACGATCCACCGAAGCGTTCTGGAAGCTTTCACTGGGAAGATTGGCGGTGGGAGATCGCATCTGCACTTTTCAGTTTTCTATGCATTGTCGCCATAACAATCATATTGAAAGTCTACCAGGAGAGACCCTTGTCCAATTGGCATTTTGTTCATAACATTACGCTGAACACAGTTGTTGCACTTCTTTCGACCTTATCGCGGACAGCCCTGATAGTACCAGTTGCATCATGCTTGAGTCAACTCAAGTGGATTCATCTGGTTAGGTCACCACGCCCGCTGCGAGAGATGCAAATCTTCGACGACGCTAGTCGTGGACCTTGGGGGTCTCTGGAACTTGTTTGGAGATTGCATCTCAAAACCAAGTTGGCAACATGGGGTTCTCTCATCACGGTACTGTCCCTCGCCATGGGCCCCTTGTCACAGCAGTTGCTTTCGTATCCTTCAAGACTGCGTTTCGACACCTCTGGTGCGACTTTCTACAAAAACCAAATTTATGATTCCGGCGCCGCCAGGGGCGTCACCGGACGAGGTGTTATCAGTAAGTTATATGTGTAACTTCTTTAGAAGCCGTTCCAAGCTTACAACCCGAACAGGGCGGATGATGGATCCCAAAATACAAGGCGCTATCCTGAATGGGCTCTACAATCTCAGTGCACCAGTGCAAGTTGAATGCCAGACTGGAAATTGCCAATGGGATGATTTCACAACCCTGGCAGTGGCTAGCAACTGCACGAATGTCACATCCACCTCGGACACTGTCTGTGACAGTATACACGCAGGGAGAAGCTGCAATTATACAACACCCTCTGGTTTCTTCATTGAGTCGTCTTCCCATCAAAGCTCAGGCGGCGGAGGATCAACTCAATTCAACAGTACCGCTCATATACAGCGCGCATCTCAAATAGGCAGCGTACTTAACAGCACCATCGTCAGTTTCGCTACCGCCAACATGGTGTCGCCTTTTAGCATGGATAGTCCAGACCTCACTGAGTGTGACATGCGTTGGGTCGGTCGGCATGTCCGTAACATGACCGTCGTGAACGGTACCTTCAACCCTGGAATCATACAGGACTATGAACTTTACGGCATCGCCAATCCATTCAACCAGGACTATTGGGTCTCTTTCAACGTCTCGAACGAGACTACAACACTCCCTGGTAACACAACTTTCAGCGTTGGTCCAGTCGATAACGAGGGAATGATGACGTTTCTCTCCGGTATATTTTCCTCTACAATCAAGGACGCGTACGGTCTTGCCTTGCAAAACTCTACAAACTTAACACAGACTGTGCAAGCTATTAGCACTTCAATGATGTACGCCTTCGGCCAGGGGCCTAGCAGTATCAACCTCCCTGGTAGAACAATCACGACTGAACAATACATAAAAGTCCACTGGGCCTGGATAAGTGTACCAGTTGTTGAAGTCACCATGGGCATTGCGTTCTTCATAGCTACGCTCGTGCATACATGGAGGAGGGGAGTAGTGGCCTGGAAGAGCTCTGCCATCGTACCGTTATTCACGCACATTGAAGGATGGCATCCTGAAGAAAGTCGAATGGGCAGCGCAAGAGAGGTGGAGAAGAGGGCTAGGGAGATGAGAGGGCTGCTGGAGAAGGACGAAGACGGTGGTCAGAGATTCAGACGCATGGATGCATGAGCTATCCCAGGAGCCACAAGATGTACGACCATGACAATACGACACCGACGCCGATGAAACCCCCCAACTCCGCTCCGGACGATACACTGTGTGTTGCGACTCCTGCGATGACCGCTACGACTGTCGCAATAGCGAAGGATAGGGCTAGTGGCCACACCAGGTACCTCTTGTCGACGACATGGCCGATGCACAATACTTTCCGCGTCGGTGATGCCTCTGTGTTCTCCACGTCGAACGACCCCGTTTCGTGGAACATCCTCCCACTCTCACGTAGTAGCCCCGGTCGCAGCAAAGCAGCCGATAGCGCATGTGACGTCTCGATGTCTTCGAAGTGCACCTCCAAAGGGAAGATGCATCTTTGGGCGTTGGCCTAGATGGAATCAGCATACAGCAGTTTTCAACAAGTTTTATGGCATGGACCTACTGCTGTGATTTCGCACACTTGGATGACGGGTCTTTGGCACCACAGCCAGCGCAACATCGCGCGCTCCATCGTACTGAAGCGTAGCTTGTAGAACTCGATCAGATGAAATATCTGCTGTTCCGTGTTGGGCGCTTTGGTCTGCTTTTCGAGGTACTTGCGGCCTTGTTTAGTGTATCCGATCCAGATCTCGGGCTCGTGGTTGGGCACAGTCGTTGTCATGACTTGCTCGACTGGGTTGGTGATGGCAGACATTCTCATTGAGCTGAAGCAGTCTGAGGTGATGAGACTTCATTCTTATTATTCACACGCCCTACATCATATATGGTGGGCTATTGTACGCGGCGTATCACAGCAATGCTCTGCTGCGGCTCGGACAAAGTGTTTTGCAACCCTGATCATTTGCATCAAGATGCCTTTTGATGCCTACAATTCATCAGCTCTCTTACTCTTTGATACAATGATCGCAGAAGCAGTATTCCATGCTAAAAACAACGAAACAATCTGTTTGCATACAGATTGGTGACGGTGTTATGGAGATAGGGTAAGCCACTTCTTGGCTGCATGGGTGGCGCTCAAGTACTCGGGATTTGGGGGCCAAACAATTTGTTCGCGTTGCTGGCAATCCGTGACGACGCGTCCACACCCATCGACACGGTGGGTGCCATCTGCTGCCTACGTACCTGTCGCACTGCGCCCGCTCCTTGCATTATCATATCCCAACGTCCAAAATCCCGCATCTCACTCGTAATCCTCTTTCGACAGCTATGGCAGCTATGAGATCTTATCTAGAGTTGTCCGAAGTCAGCAGGCCACTTACACACCGCAACGACGTACAGGCACGATATGAATTCGAAATACCTGAACCGTCTCGGCAGTCGGATCAAATCGGCGGTTTTGAATCCACTGACAACGAACGTGTAGCTCAAGCCAATCTAGTACTTCAACAACAAGGGGAAGTGGCTACTCCGAGAAGACCCATTGAAGCTCGAGCGCGGAAGACAGGAAATGGACTCTTCCCACCGCTAAGCTTCCGGTGGGGAGATAGTGACAGCGGATACGGTGGGTCTCCCGAAATTTATGGGGAGGAAAGATTACAAAGCTTTGCGTCCTGGCTGTTTGGCTCTGTGGAGGGAACGAGCAGTGACCAACTACAAGTCATCAAACAAGAGACTTCAAACCACACAGATAGCATCACGCCATGCAACGAAACTTCTACTTCGCAACCTCACTCCCTTCCGCAGACCCCAAAATTCTCAAGACCATGGCCTGCTCTTTCTATGAGTGTCAATGCAATGCCCGCTGGGCACCCGCGGAAGGCCTGGCGCACAGCTTCCGCTAAGAGAAAGGGCTCTCAGGAGAATTCATATGTGAGAGCGCTAGGAAGGACTGCAGCAGTAAATGGAGAACAATCGGAAGCGTTTCTCGGCGAGGCTACCAAGGCAAAAGAAGAGTCGATCGAAAACTCCACCCCGAATGATACAATGAGAGAGCCAAGCACTTGTCTTCACAATCCATCCGACCAAGGCTCGGATGTTCAAGATACCGCAAAATTTGAAGTTCTTCGATGGGTTGACGCGACCAAAGATGCAAGCACGTACCCGCCAGTCACTCCCCCAGCGATTCCGAGTACAAGCACTAGCATTATGAGCTCCCCAGCTGCTCCAGTGCAATCTTTGATTGTAAGAGGAGGTTCAGTATCGTCTTCAAGGGCGCTGGTCCTCGAATTCTGGAGTATTCTGCAGGATAGGGACCAATACTACGACGCATACGAGTCATCGCACGCATATGAAAGCACAGAGTGGCTTACTGACGACACACACTCGTTGCAAACATCAACAAACGGCTCTGGCTCGAACGGGTCTCCAAATAGCTCTGCAACGTCGAATAGCACTCCAATCGGACCTGCAAGCAAGAATACACTATCGACCAACAAAAGAAGCCGAGAAGGAGAAGGCGACGAAGACGAGTGTCCTAATAGAAGACCCACCAGGGAACAAGGTGCTTTTGTTCAAGATGCACTTCAAGATTCCAATTATCCCGGTCAGATGTCCTGTCCAATGCACGAGTTACATGGCTGTCAAGGGACGAATACTACAATATCAGAGCTGATGCGAAGTCTCATGAATCGTCATCGCATAGTAATATGCAAGGAATGCTGCACGCGGTTACCCATACTAGACGAGGAGAAGAGGCCAGGGAATATACTGCAGAAACATACGTCGGATGGCTGCGAGCGATACTGCATCGGTACTTCTTGCGCCGATATTTTCGACAACTCTACGCATTTTCACCGCCGGACGGAGAGATGTCCCTCATGGGCGACGCTTGCCAAGGAAGTGAGGTGGACGTTTATATGGAAGCTGGTGAATCCCGAATCAAATCCGCCGGAACCAAACTTTCTTCCAGGGCCGGCTTTCGAGCACAGCCAGATACGGAGGCCCTGTAAACAACAAACTCGGGCTAGGGGCAATGAAATATGCGCACAGCTTATGCGAGACATCGAAGCTAAAGAAAGACTCATCAGTACACTAGAGAACAATTTGATGATAGCCAGGAATGAGAATATGCAGACACAGCAACGATGCAACGAGAAGACAGTCAATCTGGAAAACATTATCGAGAGTCTCTTAGAACGGCTATGTGAGAATGGAATCGGTTTACCAGGATCATTACGAAAGCGATTGCAGAACGAGTGCCCCGAGGCCATGGCTGCAATCTTCGTCAAAGAATCGCAGACTGCATCTACGCTACCAACATCAACTCTTACGCCAAATCATGCATACTACACCGGTTCAGGCGTGTCATCGACGTGGGGAAACATGACCTGTCCACCACCAACAATGCCCACGATGCCTGTAACCTGGGATGCGGTCCCTCAGCAAATGGTTGGGTCAAACCCAGGTTACTACTTCCCAGATTTCAACGACAAAGCTTCCACAACGAGCGCGATGTATCCAAGCAATGCCTATATTCCAGTTTCGAATTCCATAAATATGAGTCCTGGTACCATGCAGGCACAAATCGGAAGACAAAGCTCTTCCGAAACACCGGAGACCGTACACCCGTATGAGAGACTGGGATAAAAGTATCACGGCATACCTTCTCAGCGCATTTAAAGAGAAACTTTCCGTTTCGTTTTCCTTCGGATGTGTGTCATTGAGAGCCTTCTTCTAGGTATCATACGTCACGGTTTCATTCGTCGATTTGGTTCACTAGCGTTCTTACTGTGCAGCATTTGAGTATCTCTTACTCGACTACAGTTTCGAACTGTTTCTGCTACAGCTGCAAACTTATCTCATATATCTCTGTCAGGGTTCTTCTGCCAAAAACATTCTAAATGCCATGGGACTTAGCTAGCTCTTCTTCCACTACAAACAACATCTTCCCCTTGATCGCACTTCCATGGATAAGAAGCTCATGCGCTTCAACCGCATCGCTCAGTCTCATCAGCTTCGCGACAACCGGATCCAACTTCCCCTCTCTCACCTTCTCCACGAGCGCAAAGAATTCCACCACTTCCTTCTTCTTTGGGTACTCGATATCAAGCGCCCAGAAGCTTATTCGTGGTGGCTGGAGTATTGTTTCAAGGATCTCGTCGACCTTCGACAACATTTTACTCCCATCCGCAGCGATGGCCCCCATAACTCCGAAGACAACCACTTTGCCGATGTCCTGCTTAGTTGCTGCAAGGAAGTCTTGGACGCTCTTCTCACTGCCAACACCGTCGTATGCGACATCCACACCCTTTCCATTGGTCAGCGCATGAACCTGGTCCACAAGATCCGGGGCGTTTCGGTCAAGCGGTTCCACACCCAGTGAGCGCACGTAATCGAATTTGCTCGGCGAACATGTACCGAACATCTTGATGCCCATATCGAATGCCTTGACAAGCTGAGCCATAGCTGTTCCCAGTCCTCCACTCACACTCCCGATCAGGATGCTCGAGCCGGGTTGTAAATCGACACCACTATGCTTCAACAGACCCCATGACGTCATGTAGTTCAGCGGAAGTGCGCAAGTTTTCAGGAGGTCGTCTTCATGCTGCAGTTTCATGACTTCTTCGTGCGGCAGGACGATGTGTGTAGCATGTGCGCCAAAGATGCTCAACGCTGCCACTCTGTCTCCAATGTTCATTTCTCTTCCCTTTGGAACAGCATCGCCCAGCGCAACTATCTCGCCGACGAGGTCATAGCCAGGTGTGAAGCCCGGTTCCTTGGCCAGGGGATGAGGGTAACCGCCGACACGCTGAATGTTGTCGACTCCAGCAATACCAGCAATGAGGATGCGAATGAGCACTCCGCCAGCAGATAGCGCGGCCATGGGATCAAATGCCTCCCATCTTAGCACAGATGGTTTGCCGAATTCTGTTATAACCCAACGGCCTGGTGAGGTTGGTGTAAGTGACGTGTTGGGCGTGGAGAGTGATGGAGACATAGTTTGAATGAGTTAGGAAAGCGCTTGTTCAGTGTATGGAGGTATCTGAATTGGTCAATGCAGAGAACGGAGACCGTGTCAGCTATTTATCGATGTAAAGTATGTCTCGTACTACCGCCCGAACCTGTTATGTCCGATTCAAGTACTAGAGTCGAGCCTCTTGTGTCCGATTTTATAGTTTCACTAGCAATGGCTCGCCTGAAATCAGCACGAAGTTGCATTTATAATATTGCACGCCACACTTTTGTCAGCAAGTACGAACTGTACATGCAGAAGCACAACGAATGAACAGCGACCGGCCCCTCACACCATCAACTCCGGTCCTCGTTCGCCCTCTTCCCGACTAACACCATACACGCCTAACACCATCTGCGCCAAGAACCCCACTGCAAGCTCTCAGAAGCTCTTCCCGTCAACAGACTTGCGCTTCAGTTTTTCAAGCTCAACGCCCTGCAGCATGCGTGCATTAACGCACGTCATACCGGCAAAGAAATTGGGGTCCTTGGAGCGGATCATGCACGATGCACCGCAGGTACCGCAGAAGTAGTGGCCCATTCTCTTAGTTCCGAAAGAATAAGACTATTAACTAACATTAGCTGACCTAATCTTTTGCGGTGTTTACTACGTTGCTAGTGACATATTTGCCTACCTTGAGTTGCTCGATGCTACCGTTTGAGAAAACGATACGCTCGTTGGGCACATAGATAAGAAGATAACCGTTTGACACGCAAATACTGCAGTTACATTCCACTAGGACCGCGCTGGGGTCGTCAAGCGGAGGAGACGCAGTGACAGAGTACTTGAAAGCGCCGCAATGG